TCATGTCAATAAAAGAGATGAGGAGAGAAAAAATAATAAAAATAAATTTGAAATTTAAATTAAAATTAAGCAAAATATTTGCATATATTTTGCTTTTGCTTTCTTCATTTCAAATTTCAAACAATCTAAATAAAATAAATATACAAATGTACATTTATACATACATATGTATGTATGTATACATGTATTTCTGTTTACATTGAAAAATATAAATCATTGTTTCCAATAGTTTTTCGTTTATTTGTTTTTCTTTTCCTTTTGATAAAATTCATACGTAATAAATACTACAATATTTAATTAATTAAATTAAATAATACATACATATTTGTTAAAAATAAATATTCGAAATTCTCAATTTTGTATTTTTATAAAATCTCGGAATATTTAATGAATGAATTAATTACCAAACTGTAGATATCTTGCATTTCCGGATATAAATAATTAACATTAACAATGATTTACTAAGAAGGTTTTCAATACAAAAAACGTTTTTGAATATGGGAGTTAGAGCTTAAATGGGGTTTATTTAGATTTTCTTCTTTCGATACTTTTTAAAAAACCGGTTTGGAATATTGCAAATTTAAAACATAAACCGGTTGGCATTTTTTAAAATAAAAAAACGTAAACCGTTTTTTTAGTTTAATAATAATAAGCAAGAGTGTTACATTCGACCCAATCTCATATAGCCAGCATCAAATCCACTTACATAGGGACTAGGTGATATCGTAGACCCATTGCCTATTTCAAATGTCAAATAAACCTTTAGTGAAAAATATTTGTGGAAAATTTAAGATCCTTCCGTTCGGAAATTATCGTTTTTACCACAAGCTGATGGAGGTACATCAGGCTTGCTATACTAATGTACATTATACAATATTGGGGAGAAAATAAGGTTTAAATATTTTAAATAAAATACAAAACATGTCGAGTTTTTAAAAAACAGAAAAAACCGTTTCAGTGAAATTATGTATATAAGGATCAGGCAAGGAAAATTCAGTACTTTCATAGTCTAGTCGTCTAGTCTAGTCGTCTATAGTCTAGTCGTCTATAGTCTAGTCGTCTATAGTCTATAGTCTAGTCGAATATAGTCTAGTCGTCTATAGTCTAGTCGTCTATAGTCTAGTCGTCTATAGTCTAGTCGTCTATAGTCTAGTCGTCTATAGTCTAGTCGTCTATAGTCTAGTCGTCTATAGTCTAGTCGTCCATAGTCTAGTCGTCTATAGTCTAGTCGTCTATAGTCTAGTCGTCTATAGTCTAGTCGTCTATAGTCTAGTCTATAGTCCAGTCGTCTATAGTCCAGTCATCTATAGTCTATAGACTAGTCTATAGTCTAGTCGTCTATAGTCTAGTCGTCTATAGTCTAGTCGTCTATAGTCTAGTCGTCTATAGTCTAGTCGTCTATAGTCTAGTCGTCTATAGTCTAGTCGTCTATAGTCTAGTCGTCTATAGTCTAGTCGTCTATAGTCTAGTCGTCTATAGTCTAGTCGTCTATAGTCTAGTCGTCTATAGTCTAGTCGTCTATAGTCTAGTCGTCTATAGTCTAGTCGTCTATAGTCTAGTCGTCTATAGTCTAGTCGTCTATAGTCTAGTCGTCTATAGTCTAGTCGTCTATAGTCTAGTCGTCTATAGTCTAGTCGTCTATAGTCTAGTCGTCTATAGTCTAGTCGTCTATAGTCTAGTCGTCTATAGTCTAGTCGTCTATAGTCTAGTCGTCTATAGTCTAGTCGTCTATAGTCTAGTCGTCTATAGTCTAGTCGTCTATAGTCTAGTCGTCTATAGTCTAGTCGTCTATAGTCTAGTCGTCTATAGTCTAGTCGTCTATAGTCTAGTCGTCTATAGTCTAGTCGTCTATAGTCTAGTCGTCTATAGTCTAGTCGTCTATAGTCTAGTCGTCTATAGTCTAGTCGTCTATAGTCTAGTCGTCTATAGTCTAGTCGTCTATAGTCTAGTCGTCTATAGTCTAGTCGTCTATAGTCTAGTCGTCTATAGTCTAGTCGTCTATAGTCTAGTCGTCTATAGTCTAGTCGTCTATAGTCTAGTCGTCTATAGTCTAGTCGTCTATAGTCTAGTCGTCTATAGTCTAGTCGTCTATAGTCTAGTCGTCTATAGTCTAGTCGTCTATAGTCTAGTCGTCTATAGTCTAGTCGTCTATAGTCTAGTCGTCTATAGTCTAGTCGTCTATAGTCTAGTCGTCTATAGTCTAGTCGTCTATAGTCTAGTCGTCTATAGTCTAGTCGTCTATAGTCTAGTCGTCTATAGTCTAGTCGTCTATAGTCTAGTCGTCTATAGTCTAGTCGTCTATAGTCTAGTCGTCTATAGTCTAGTCGTCTATAGTCTAGTCGTCTATAGTCTAGTCGTCTATAGTCTAGTCTATAGTCTAGTCTATAGTCTAGTCTATAGTCTAGTTTATAGTCTAGTCTATAGTCTAGTCTATAGTCTAGTCTATAGTCTAGTCTATATTCTAATCTATAGTCTAGTCTATAGTCTAGTCTATAGTCTAGTCTATAGTCTAGTCTATAGTCTAGTCTATATTCTAATCTATAGTCTAGTCTATAGTCTAGTCTATAGTCTAGTCTATAGTCTATAGTCTAGTCTATAGTCTAGTCTATAGTCTAGTCTATAGTCTAGTCTGTAGTCTAGTCTATAGTCTAGTCTATAGTCTAGTCTAGTCTAGTCTATAGTCTAGTCTATAGTCTAGTCTATAGTCTAGTCTATAGTCTAGTCTATAGTCTAGTCTATAGTCTAGTCTATAGTCTATAGTCTAGTCTAGTCTATAGTCTAGTCTATAGTCTAGTTTATAGTCTAGTCTTTAGTCTAGTCTATAGTCTAGTCTATAGTGTAGTCTGTAGTCTAGTCTATAGTATAGTCTATAGTCTAGTCTATAGTCTAGTCTATAGTCTAGTCTATAGTCTAGTCTATAGTCTAGTCTATAGTCTAGTCTATAGTCTAGTCTATAGTCTAGTCTATAGTCTAGTCTATAGTCTAGTCTATAGTCTAGTCTATAGTCCAGTCTATAGTCTAGTCTATAGTCTAGTCTATAGTCTAGTCTATAGTCTAGTCTATAGTCTAGTCTATAGTCTAGTCTATAGTCTAGTCTATAGTCTAGTCTATAGTCTAGTCTATAGTCTAGTCTATAGTCTAGTCTATAGTCTAGTCTATAGTCTAGTCTATAGTCTAGTCTATAGTCTAGTCTATAGTCTAGTCTATAGTCTAGTCTATAGTCTAGTCTATAGTCTAGTCTATAGTCTAGTCTATAGTCTAGTCTATAGTCTAGTCTATAGTCTAGTCTATAGTCTAGTCTATAGTCTAGTCTATAGTCTAGTCTATAGTCTAGTCTATAGTCTAGTCTATAGTCTAGTCTATAGTCTAGTCTATAGTCTAGTCTATAGTCTAGTCTATAGTCTAGTCTATAGTCTAGTCTATAGTCTAGTCTATAGTCTAGTCTATAGTCTAGTCTATAGTCTAGTCTATAGTCTAGTCTATAGTCTAGTCTATAGTCTAGTCTATAGTCTAGTCTATAGTCTAGTCTATAGTCTAGTCTATAGTCTAGTCTATAGTCTAGTCTATAGTCTAGTCTAGTCTAGTCTATAGTCTAGTCTATAGTCTAGTCTATAGTCTAGTCTATAGTCTAGTCTATAGTTTAGTTTATAGCCTAGTCTATAGCCTATTAGGCTAAGTCTAATCTATAGTCTAGTGAAATTTTTTGATGAAATTTTTAGAGGCTGTCTCGGTTTTTTGCTTATATCTCCGTTAGCATGTCTGACAGAATTATTGAAGATTTGGATCCCGAAAATATCTTGGGTCTTCAGAAACTGATTTCAACAGACACACAGAATATGTGTACTTTATAGGGTCGGAAAATTATATTGTAGAAATTACAAACGGAATGACAAACTTATATACCCTTCACACGAAGGTGAAGGGTATAAAAAGTACAAGAAAGTCCCCTTTTATAGATTTTCATTCAAAGAACGAAATCCTTTCCCTTATTTATTTATTTTTTATTTCTATTTATGTCTAAGCAAAATTCTCAAGTTTTGTTAAAATTTCCAGAGGTTGACTAGGATTTTTGCTTAGTTTTTCGTTATTTATGAACCGATTTTTCTGATTTAAAATAGAAAATTTCTCGAAAGCATCTCTGACAGAATTGTTGAAGATTTGGGTCCCGTAGATATCTCTCTATTTATAAGTACTCGGAATATGTATACTTTATAGGTCGGAAAATTTTATTATAGAAATTACAAACGGAATGACAAGGAATGAAGGGTATCATGGGTAAAAAATTTATGCTTAAAATGGCAAATCATTGCCTTAACAAATTACATTTAAAAAATTCTTTAGAATTCTTTTTTTTAGTTATTTTTTTTTTTGCAACAATTTGGAATTACTAAACAACATATGTATATTTATTTGCACAATTCTTAATCATTATTGTCACATCTTCTTTTGTTAAAATACATTTATAAAATTTGTCATTACTTGTATCTATTATTTAATTGTTAAGAATAGAAATTATTTATTATAAATATTGTTACTATTACAGATGTATGTAAGTTTGTGCTTTTTCAAATAAATATTTAAAAAAATATTTGTCACAATGTTAATTAATATAATCAACTAAGTGCAATAGTTGCAATACACATTTTCTTTGTTTCAAATTAAATTCAAAATACTCGATGATTCTAACAGAGAGAAATAATCTAAACACATTCACGCAAGTGAACAGATAAATAAACTGCATCACGGCTAGTCTGAACAAACGACAATAACGGAATTAATAATGAAATGTAACGGGTTAAATCTGAAATATATTTTTTGAGAATTTCCTAGTTACTAAAAAGGCCTAAATATAATTCTAAAATTGTGGAAAACCGGAAATCTGACTAAATGTGCAAAATTTTTTTGATATATTTTATTTTGTTTTTTTCCGATATTTTACATTTCTGCTGATGTTTATGTAAATATAGTATTGAAATTTAAAAACTTTATTGTACACTTACCTTTTTGTTGTTGTATTTTAAAATATATGTATATTGTCAGTTTTAATATAATTATAAATTTTCCACAAATGTATAATAATATTTTTATGATTTGCTGTTGTTGTTTTGTATAAGAATCATTTGTTTTTAAAGGCAGTATTTTTCATCGTTTGTTTTAAATTTTGATTTCACAGATGCGTTAAAAGATGAGTTGGAGATTATTATATAAAACTTTAAATTTAGTTAATTTTTTAACACTTCTTTACTTTAATCGCTTTCACTTTAGCATTGATATGAATAATTTAATTGTAAATAACGTTTTTATGTATATTTTGGTTAAATTAATATTTGTGAAATTTATTAAAATGTCAAACATTTTTTTAAATATTACTTTCTTTGCTCAAATTTTCATTTTGTATAAATTTCGTTCTGCATTACACTCGCGTTTAAGACACGCGATTTTTAGATTTTTATCATTTTATAGTAAAAGTTGAGCATTGATTTAAGGATTTAATTTTGCAACGTATCCGCTTAATAAATGGTGTCTTATTGGCCTTAATATCAACAAATCCCACACTTTGTCTTTGGGGACGCATTTATATCTCTTTGAATGATCATGCATCGAATTAAGTCATGTGTTCTGAAATTAGATTAAGAAAGAATTAAAATCAGAAATTAGTGAATTAAAACAATTTAATGTTAAATTAGTTTTCATTTAACCGAAGACGAAATCAAAATAATAGAAAATATTTTAAAATTAAGTTTCAGTTTTTAAAAACCGTACAAGGATTTGCTAAAAGACATAATAAATATATCGCTCATAACTCAAAAATATATGAGGACGTTGTTTTGAGAGTTTCAAAAGGGTAAATATCCGGTATTTTGCAAAAATTTTCCACAAAAAAATATTTTTATCCTGTTTAATACCGACGTATAATTAATATTTAATTATTTAAATTAATATTCTTCATACGCTCTGCATATAGCACATTAGGTTTATAACAATTTTTTTACATTTATTCATAAACGATTTTTAAAAATATCAATGTTTAATAAGAAGAATTTGGGGAAAAGAAGTGTTGAATAAACCCTTGATAACATAATTTTTTTATTTTTGTAAACAAATTCTCAATCACATTTTATCACAAATTTATTGCGAGAATTCTCAGGAAAATCGTACACAAAACTCTCGGGTATGTTTAAAAATCGAAACGATTTTGCTGAGTTTGTCTAAGATTTTTATATAGTATTGTTATGTGTTAATTTATTTTTTACAGCCATTTAAAATCCAAAAAAAATATTTTATTTGAAATATTTATCATAGATATTTTCCTTGAATTTCTCAACTCCAAGTTCACACAATTTCCTAGTTAGTTGTGATCTGTTTTCTTTTTCAAATACTTAATGCAAAAATTTCCGGAATTTTCGAGTAGTTGAGTGAGTGAGTGTATTGTAAATAAAAATTTAAGTACCTGCATTCTTTCAATAACAGTGCGTAAATATATTTTAACAATTTTGTATAAATTTAAACATATGAGTGCATGTATATATAAATAAAATTATTGAAAATGACAATGAATTCAAAGTATTAATAATACAATTTAGAAAATAACTAACGACAAAAAGGCAAATAAATATACATAGATAAATTAAAAAATATATGTATGTATATGTAATAATGAAAATAATTCCCCTGGAAACAAAAAAGTATGTACAAATGCTTACTGAAGAGCTCTTAAATTTCAAATATAATGTTATTTATAGCGCCATTTAGTCTAGATTTGAAATTTTAAAATCAATATTGTATAAAAAAATAAATTGGAACATTAATTGAATCTTTGAAAAATTAAAATATAAAACATACACATGAAAAATTAAGTGAAAGAAGGGATTTACAAAATAACCCCATAAATTTTTAAAAATTACTGTGGCATTAAACATTTCTATGTGCCTCCAATTTAGTTCCGGAAAATATGTCCAAAAGTGAGTAAACTGCAGAATTTGAGACAGAGCTTCGTATTAAAGTCCTAATTAAGCAGTTAAATTCTTTATTTTTTTAAATTATAAATTAATAATGGCGTCCAGTGACCCTATCGGATTTACTACAAAGACATTGCACTATGGTCTTAAGACTGTTAAAAAGATATTTATGGTGACTTTTAACTCCTTATTAAAGATATTAACTAGAATCTATCTAAAATTTCTCAGTAACCCCCTTATATTTTAATATTAATTTTATAATTTATTTTAAAATTAATAACAAATAAAGAAATTCATTTATTTTCAAAAAATATATTACAAATTAATTTCAAGTAGCACTGTGTAAATTGAGAGAGCAAATTTGCAAAAATCACAAACAAATCAAATATATATTTATTTTGTTTTTTTCCGAAGGTCAATCACTAAACGCATGAGTAATAATATTTCTATAAATTTTAAAGCAACGCAAAAATATTTTTTTTTTTTTGTCAAATTCCTACATGACGTACTACGGTTTCAGAGTTTCAAAATTAATAACCGATTACTACAAAATAGAAGAAGAAAATAAATTAAACCGGTTTTTTGTTTAATGTAAATTCCATTTGAAAAATCCTATTAAATCAGTTGTTTTTCATTTTAACAGAAATATAACAACAACTATAAACAAACAGAAAACAACAACGACGTTTTATTTCCTTAAACAAATTGCATTTGTTTTCAAAATCAACAACAATCAAATAAAGAAGCTTAATCGAAACATGCACTTACATATATTCACACACACATTTTATCAGCAATACAACAAAAAAAGCTCTACTCAAATACATACAAGCAAATGCCGCAAAAACAAAAGCTTTTGCCAATAAAACAAAATAAAGAAATTAACTAAATGAATGTAATATTCAGGTATGGAAAATTCAGTACTTTAGTACTTATTGATATCTAGTCCATAGTCTAGTTTATAGTCTAGTTCATAGTGTACTCTGAAGTCTAATCTATAATCTAGTCGCCTTTTGTCTAGTCGTCTATAGTCTAGTCGTCTATAGTCCAGTCATCTATAGTCTAGTCGTCTATAGTCTAGTCGTCTATAGTCTAGTCGTCTATAGTCTAGTCGTCTATAGTCTAGTCGTCTATAGTCTAGTTGTCTATAGTCTAGTTGTCTATAGTCTAGTCGTCTGTAGTCTAGTCGTCTATCAAATCGTATATAGTCTAGTCTAGACTCTAGTCTATAGTCTAGTCTATAGTCTAGTCTATAGTCTAGTCTATAGTCTAGTCTATAGTCTAGTCTATAGTCTAGTCTATAGTCTAGTGTATAGTCTAGGCTATAGTCTAGTCTATAGTCTAGTCTATAGTCTAGTCTATAGTCTAGTCTATAGTCTAGTCTATAGTCTAGTCTATAGTCTAGTCTATAGTCTAGTCTATAGTCTAGTCTATAGTCTAGTCTATAGTCTAGTCTATAGTCTAGTCTATAGTCTAGTCTATAGTCTAGTCTATAGTCTAGTCTATAGTCTAGTGTATAGTCTAGTCTATAGTCTAGTCTAAAGTCTAGTCTATAGTCTAGTGTATAGTCTAGTGTATAGTCTAGTGTATAGTCTAGGCTATAGTCTAGTCTATTGTCTAGTCTATAGTCTAGTGTATAGTCTAGTCTGTAGTCTAGTCTATAGTCTAGTCTATAGTCTAGTGTATAGTCTAGGCTATAGTCTAGTCTGTAGTCTAGTCTATAGTCTAGTCTATAGTCTAGTCTATAGTCTAGTCTAAAGTCTAGTCTATAGTCTAGTGTATAGTCTAGTGTATAGTCTAGTCTATAGTCTAGTGTATAGTCTAGTCTATAGTCTAGTGTATAGTCTAGTGTATAGTCTAGGCTATAGTCTAGTGTATAGTCTAGGCTATAGTCTAGTCTATAGTCTAGTCTATAGTCTAGTCTATAGTCTAGTCTATAGTCTAGTCTATAGTCTAGTCTATAGTCTAGTCTATAGTCTAGTCTATAGTCTAGTCTATAGTCTAGTCTATAGTCTAGTCTATAGTCTAGTCTATAGTCTAGTCTATAGTCTAGTCTATAGTCTAGTCTATAGTCTAGTCTATAGTCTAGTCTATAGTCTAGTCTATAGTCTAGTCTATAGTCTAGTCTATAGTCTAGTCTATAGTCTAGTCTATAGTCTAGTCTATAGTCTAGTCTATAGTCTAGTCTATAGTCTAGTCTATAGTCTAGTCTATAGTCTAGTCTATAGTCTAGTCTATAGTCTAGTCTATAGTCTAGTCTATAGTCTAGTCTATAGTCTAGTCTAATCTATAGTCTAGTCTATAGTCTAGTCTATAGTCTAGTCTAATCTATAGTCTAGTCTATAGTCTAGTCTATAGACTAGTCTATAGTCTAGTCTATAGTCTAGTCTATAGTCTAGTCTATAGTCTAGTCTATAGTCTAGTGTATAGTCTAGTGTATAGTCTAGTGTATAGTCTAGTCTATTGTCTAGTCTATAGTCTAGTGTATAGTCTAGTCAATAGTCTAGTCTATAGTCTAGTCTATAGTCTAGTCTATAGTCTAGTCTATAGTCTAGTCTATAGTCTAGTCTATAGTCTATTCTATAGTCTTGTCTATAGTCTAGTCTATAGTCTATTCTATAGTCTAGTCTATAGTCTAGTCTATAGTCTAGTCTATAGTCTAGTCTATAGTCTTGTCTATAGTCTAGTCTATAGTCTAGTCTATAGTCTAGTGTATAGTCTAGTCTATAGTCTAGTCTATAGTCTAGTCTATAGTCTAGTCTATAGTCTAGTCTATAGTCTAGTCTATAGTCTAGTCTATAGTCTAGTCTATAGTCTAGTCTATAGTCTAGTCTATAGTCTAGTCTATAGTCTAGTCTATAGTCTAGTCTATAGTCTAGTCTATAGTCTAGTCTGGTCTATCGGAATATTAGATTAATTAGTACTTTAAAACCTAAATAAAAAGTACTAACTTTTTAGAACTATTTTAAAATTTACATTTTCCATGTCTGGTAATAACGACAAATAAAATCACAAATAAATAGCTATAAAACTTTGAAACAAATACAACGAGTACAATTTTATATTAATAAATAATAAAATAAAGAAAATGAAATGACGTTACAACTATGTATGTATACTCTATATTGTTGTTAATTATTTTGTATGGTCATTGTTGTTATTATTATGATTATTCTTTGTAAATGGGGAGGTGTGTGTGTATCATGCGTGAAGCAAAGAGGGTTTGTCTCATTTAATTGTCTAGGCTGTTTAGGAAAGAGTGACCAGACTTGTGCGAATTATTTGATATTATTATTATGATCTGATTTTATTAATTTACAATAGATTTTTAGGAAAATATCTAAACTAAAACAAGTTTAGGTAATTTTATGCATGTTGTGATTTTCTAACTGAAATACCTTGATAATTGAGTTAAATGTGCCAAACGATAAAAGCATAATAATTACCCATTTGATATTGTTATCTCACGTGAAGAAGTTAAACGATGTTATAGTTTTTAATGGTTATTAAAAAAATAATGAATTTTTGCATTTTATGTTATGATAAAATATTAATTTGGTAACTCTGTTCTATATGTTTTAACTATTCTCTTTATTATTATTTGTTCTTGAACGCAATCTTTTAAGGAGAACACTTGCTGACAAAAGTTATTAAATTTAT